CCCTGCGCGCCCGCCGCGCCCCCGCCCGGCGGCGCCGGCTCCTCTCTCGTTCCTCGTACGGCCGCCGGGACAGTCACCTGCAACAGCAAGAGTCTGGCTCGGACCGTTGTCCTCTTCTGCCACTTGTGAGGTCGAAGTATGGATGATGTGGCCTGTGGCTCCCAGCGACGCCTCCCGTAAACTTTAGGGCTTTTGGGTCTCAAAGTTCAAGCTTCTTAGAAGCAACAAAGACTTTCTAAAGATCTCCACCCCCTCCCCCTCCCCCGAGCTCACTCTTCTCCGGCTACACGCTCGCACCCGGCCCCTTTTCTTTCTAAGGCTGGGGGTGAGTTTAAATCACTGTGCTCCCATTTCTTGAACACTGCCTGCTTTGAGCTTTTGTTCTCTTAAAGTAGGATCGCGCGCTGGAAGAGGGGCTGAAGATGAACAGTTTGACCCTGCAGGACAGTTCACGCGATGGACAGCAGCGGCCTGCGGTCACCGGCCTCGCCGGCGCCATTCACGCGCGCCCCTCCCCCTCGCAGGACATTTCAGCCTCGTTTCATCCGGACAATCTTCCAGACCACACAAGTGCCTCTTGAATTTATTTAAGCTAAAAGAGTGCCAGAAGAGCCCAGCTAGGGATATTTGGCATTAGTGACGTCTTCCCAAAGCTGAGCACAAATCGAAATTGCTTTTTTTCAGCAGAATTGAGCAAAATGCCAAACAAATAGAATTCTGCCATCCAGGCAACTGAGTGCGAATAGCTGGTCTGTGGATTGCACCAGCGCTGTTAGCTTGCCCTTGGGGCCCTTTTCTTTTTCCTAAGGGTATTTTTCATAGTGAGAAAAATGCTCTATTATCAAGAGAAAGGCAGCTATTGAAAGCTACAACAGCCCAAACACACAACCAAAATTCTTAGAGTTCCAAGATCAATAAAGAGTGATTTCCTTACACCTTTACTTTGCACAGTAATCTAACATGCACCACTGCATACACCCAGAGAAGCCCTAATCTTAAAGATAAAATTCTATAAACCCCATCATACATTATATTTAAATGGACTGGAGGTTGATTTATATCAATATTTGAATATGTACACAACCCTGTGTTTCTTGACAGTGCTGGAAGTTTTCCATTTGAAGAAAACTTCCAGAATAGGAAATGTGCAGTTTACCTTACTTTAGTTTACTATTTTACCATTACCAAACATCTGCAAAGGATACATTTAAATTTTCATGATTAACTTCTCACTCACAGACAGTTTAGAAGGTTTGGATTTTGTCAATGGAAGGCATGTGCCCTTTCAGTGAATCATAAAAACAGAAAATCCTGGGAGACTATAACAACTGGGCAGTCAGATGCCCAAATGCTGTTAACAATCAACTAAGAAATCCATTGTGTTTCATTAGAGTTAAGCATTAGACCCAGCTTGATCTCATTGTTATTTGGGGTTTTCTATTAATACAAGGCTCACCAGTTTCCCTATAAGCCTCTACTTAACCGGATTGCAATTCTGTTCTTCTTCCAAATATGTTTTATCATTAAATCAATCCAGCCCTTCCTTCCTAGCCAAACCAAAATTTTAAAGCAACCTGTCCAAAGAGGTGTATTTCTACTGATGCTAAAGTAAACCTTGCTTTGTTTTCTATTACATGAATCTATTGGTTTGTCTTTATTTGCAACAACTCACATGGAGGGATATAGATATCTAAAGATTGACAAGCCATGGTTCCTCCCATCAGTCCAGTATTTATTTTTAACAGTCTTTTATCATTTCCTCAGAACCTAGCTTTCTCACTTTTTATTTCATTCAAATTTACAAACAAAAAATCCTACACCCATTCCCACGTGTTTCTTCAATCTCTGCCCAGCTGGGCTGGACAGGGCCACACCCCTGGTGGGTTTTCTTTTAGGGGGACTATGAGCAGAGCATTGGCTTGTTTGCTTTCCATGATTGTTGCCTATAAAGTAATGTTCATGTGTGCACACTACTGGCCTATCTTTTGCTTGTATCAAGCCATTTATGAAGTTCTGCTTCTGCAGGCTCATGCCACAGAGACAGAGACCCAAAGAAATGTAACAGAGGCAGCTGCTGTGTGCAGGAGAGACTGACTGTGCCTCCCATGTCTTCTTTCTTTTTCATTTCTGCACTTCTAACAAATGAAATCAAGCTGTTCTGAAAGGATTGAGGAGGAAACGGTGGAAAGGATGCTTTTAAAGTCGGGGGCTTTGTTTTAAAATGGAAGTAAATGGAAACACAAATATGAAAGAGCAAAGTGAAAATCATGATAGTTTTCAAATAATGTCAAGACAAAGAGAAGTCTGAAGGTTGCAGAACTGCAACAGGCAAGAGTCTCTTTTAAAGGACTTTAATTTTCATTTACTTTGTCCCTTGAATTCTGCTTGTCACTTCCTTGCAGAAAACATTAAATTAAAACGATGCCAAAACACTAACAGCCACTTTCATCACCCCTTCTCTGAAATACAACTTCCAATTCCTTTAAACCAAGGGAGACAAAGATCAGAAGTTATCATTCTTGCATGCCAAGGAAGACTGCCTAAAAAATAAATAAATAAATAAATTTTAAAAAGAAGATACTTTTCTCTGGCTACTCTTTGTCACCCCCCGCCCCCCTTGCTACTCTTTGGTTCCTAATACTCCAACTGCGCCTGACTTTATTTGCAAATGGGGATCTCAAGGGACGCCTCTCCAGTCTCCTGGAGTCCAGATCCATGCCCAGGTCGACAAGAGGGTGGGCGTGAGCGTGGGGGACAGGGAGGGGGCCCGATGAGCAATTCAGAACAAGTTTCCTCCGAAGTCCAGTCCCCCTTCAGCTCTTTTTTCTCATTGAAAAGCGGGAGAATAAGGAAGACTGGCCCCATGTCCCTACAACGCCCCCCAGCGCGGAGCAGAGGTCGCGGAAATGTCAGCGCAGCCCCTTGCTCGCAGGCGCCGCGTCTCCGCCGCCCTCGGGCTCTGCGCGCTGCCACCCGCGCAGGAACCTGGCCGTCGCGTCCCGCCGGGCTGTCAACTGAGGCTGACACCGCAGTGCCCAGAGCCTCAGTTTACCGCAGGCAGAACGAAGCGGTTTCTTTCAGCTCTACCTAGTGATCATGTGAGAGTTCCCATTCTCACACCCTCTAAAAGCCGGTCACCGCTCCCCGCCCAGTCCCCGCGTCCAGGAGACTCCATGAGTCCCCAGTGTCCTCTCCCTCCCCCGCCCACACCCGCTTCTCCGCACGCCAAGCGCACTGGCCCACGACGCGCCCACCACCCGCCACCCACACCCCTTTCCTTCCCTAACCCAGTGCATGCGTTTTCAGATCGGTCACTCTTTGAAACGGTCCCCAAGAGGCTTTGCCAAGAGCCGCCGGGCAGCGCACGGGGCCAGCCGCTTTCCCGGGACTCTGACCCCCATTAACTAATTCCGAGCCTCCCCCTCGCCCGGGAGCCGGAGCCGAGGCCGGGCGGCCGCGCGGTGCGGGGCGAGCTCGCCGCCGGGCGGGCGCGGGGGTGGCGCGGGCCGCGGGCCGGGGCGGGGCGGCAGCCCGGGTCCACCAGCCGCCCCCGCCCCCGGCCCCTAATGAGCGGCTGAAAGGGAGCGGGCTCCGTGCGCGTGGGCTCGCGGGCCTCCCGGAGTCCGCGCGCCCTGATTGGCCAGCTGCGCCTCGCGACCTCCATTCATTAATAAATTAGCGGCAACGCTCCAGCCCGAGCGCGAGCCACCAATCACATGGACAGCGCGGCGACAACACCGCCAGCTTGGGCCGGCCGAGGCCGGCGCGGCCTCCGCAGCTCCGGCCGCAGCTCCGAGCCCAACGAGCGTTAGAACCATTTTATGCTGATTAGATAAAAAGGGGAAGGGAGGGTGGGGGAGGATGGATGGCAGGGCCGGGGGAGGGCGGGGGTGAAGAAAGAGAAAGAAATGAATGATGATAATGCAATGAAAAGAGTAAGCCGGGGGACAGAAAAAGGGGAGCAGGGGGCCAGGCGGGGGGGGGCGGCGGTGGCGGAGGGCGAGTGGGGCCCGGGGGCAGATGCGATTGTTTTCTTGGTGGTATATAAGGGTTTAAGGAGGGTCGTGTGCCAGACACGCAGCCACTGAACCACAAGCAGCTTCGCTTTAACTGGATGCCTGGAGTCGCGTGCCGGAGCCGCACGCCGGGACTGACCTGACAGACAGACACGCACGCCCACCACACACGAGACCCGCGCGGGCGGCCGCCGCCGGGGCTTGGCAAAGGCGCGCGTCCGCCAGGTCCCCCGCGGAGCCAGCGCCACCCCAGCGCCGGCTCGGGCAGGGACACAGAGTCGCGCCCCGGCGGCGCGGAGACTCCGGGCTCCCTCGAAGCACATTTAGAGCCAACCAAGTAAGTACCGCGGGCTACGGCGTCCCCTTCGCGCGGGCCGTCTCCCGCCCGGCCGACCCCGCCCGCGCGACTCTGCTCGCGCCGCGCCTGTCGCCGAGTCACGGCCGTCCCCGGGGAGGGGAGCCCGCAGAGTGCGGACCCACTGACCCGCGCTCGGTCTCAGCGAGGGGCGCTCCCCCTTGGCCGGTTCTGTCCCAACTGACGTCTCCCCTCCGCGCCTTCCGCGCCACTCCTGGCGGTGACGCGGGAACGTGCCTCTGTGTTCTCTATTTACGCCGCTCGCCCGTCTCGCTCTCTCCCGCTCGCCCTTCTTCCGCTCTATCCGAGATGTTCGTCAAATCCGAGACCTGGAGCTGAAGGAGGAAAGACATGTGGTGCTGCTGGGCGCGCGGCCTCACCCGGCCTCCGCGGCCTCTGACCCCGCTGTCGTCCAGCGGGGACGAGGACGAGGAGGAGGAGCCGGCGCGCGCGGGCGGGGCGCGGCGCGCGCGGGCCCGAGGCGGGGCCGGGCGCGCGGGCGGCCCGCGGCGGCGGCGGGGCCCGAGGGCTGCCGCCCGGCGCGCCTTCTGGGCCTGGCGCACGAGTGCCGGCGGCGCCCGGCGCGGGCGCGGGCGGCGTCCCGCGGCGCCAAGACGGCCGAGACGGTGCAGCGCATCAAGAAGACGCGCAGGCTGAAGGCCAACAACCGCGAGCGCAACCGCATGCACAACCTCAACGCGGCGCTGGACGCGCTGCGCGAGGTGCTGCCCACCTTCCCCGAGGACGCCAAGCTCACCAAGATCGAGACGCTGCGCTTCGCCCACAACTACATCTGGGCGCTCACCGAGACGCTGCGCCTGGCCGACCACTGCGGCGGCGGCGGCGGCGGCGGCGCGGGCCTGCCGGGGGCGCTCTTCCCCGACGCCGCGCTGCTGAGCCCGGGGGGCGCGGGCGCCGCCCTGAGCAGCGGCGGGGACAGCCCGTCGCCCGCCTCCACGTGGAGCTGCACCGACAGCCCCGCGCCGCCCTCGTCCGCGTGCTCCAGCTCCACCTCCCCCTACCGCTGCGCTTTCTCGCCCGCCAGCCCCGCCGGCTCGGACCTGGACTACTGGCAGCCGCCACCTGCCGACAAGCACCGCTACGCGCCTCGCCTCCCCGTGGCCAGGGACTGTGTCTAGAGCCGGCGACTCTGGGACCCTCGCCAGGCCTCGGTGGCTTCCCTCTCCGTCCCGGCCGAGCCCTGCGCCCCCCACCGCCCCCACTCTCCGCGCTCCGCAGGGCAGGGGCAGCCGTCCGACCTCTCGCTCGGCTCGCCGCCTTCCTTGACTGTATCCATCCAGACGGCTGTGATTTAGTGAAGGTGTGATGGAGCTGGTGGCGTTTGGGGGCTTCTTGGGCCTAAAAAGATGCTGGGAAGCGAAGACAGTGGCGTATCTAAAGAGTTTGCAGGGCGGCCGGGCTCCGCGCCTTTCTCCGCGTCGCCGGAGGGCTCGGTGCAGGGCGTGCGAATCTCCCGGGGGAATGCAACTGGTTCCTGTGATCTTTTCACCTTTGCTTCTACATAGAGATGTTAATGTCGAGTAGAAAGAAATGTATCTTAGCATCTGAATGATTTTACCGGTAATAATATTATCCACAGATTTGCAATGGCTGGCATCTGCTTTCTTCCCATTGCTGTCTGCAGGCTGTGGGAATTTCACCTGTCAAACCAAACTTTCCCTCTCTGATGTGCACTTTGTTCTGTTTCCCAGATTCGTCACAATGCCTATTGTCCCGTCCTTCTCTTTCCTTTTTCTTCCCCATTTTGCCATCTGTCTCTTATGATTTATAAGAGGGGGGAAAAACTTGTTTTGTTAGAGGGGCAGGTTAGAAGTCATTGTATAATTTGTAGGCTTTGTAATGATTGAATGAAAGCGTGGAAATTTAGGCTGAACTCTCTATCAAAAGGAAAAATGTGGAGGAAAAGGGAAAAATCAGGAGGGAGGATTGCTTCATGCATTATTTATCTCGACCTTTTAGGGGAGAAGGAACTCCCCCATTCTTTCAAGAGATTAAAAATAAATCAACAGTCTGAAAACCTAAGCAGACACGGAGCATTATCGGGATCAGCCACACACGTGTTCCCTTCTATTTATTATAAACAAATTTTTCATGGGAAAAGTATGTATTTTTTTGTATATTCCACAGAGTTTATTCTAGTATGTATTTACATCTTGAAGAACAAGAAAACTGTTCTTGTGATTAAACTATAAATAAAGTATCTAATTTTCATAAGTTTTGTGTTGTATTCTAACTTTTTCTTGATTATGTAGTTTGTGTTTGAGTTGCAAATGAGTTGTGTTTTTCTGAAATTCCTCCCATGTCAAATTGAATAGAGTACTTGTATTTGGGGTGCAATATTTGTGTGTAGGATTTCATTAAGAAATTACAATAAGCTGAATTATATTTAAGACATTAACACTGAAATAAGTAACTCTCAATACAAACACAAACTTTGTTTTTAAGAAATCAATTTCTGAGCACATGAGAAAAAAAAGAAAATAATTAAAATGCTAATGTCACAATAAGCACCAAAGTTCAGAAAACATCCTTGATTTTTAAAAATAGTGAAGTTGAAATTTCTTGGTGGAGTGTGTAGAAATTTGGTTCTTATACTTCTTTCAGCTTGAGTTCTCATCTGTAAACTGAGGGGGTTGGACAGTGATCTCCAACGTCTCCCTTTCCAGCTTTAATGTCTATGACTTAACAGTATGTATAAATTCACTATTGGAAGCTGATGTTGTATTGGTCATTTGAGCAAGCAAGTTGGTTTTAAAAGCAAACTCCTAGAAAAAAAGGAGAGATTTAGAGTGAGCTTGACTTTAAAAATATCTGAAAGAAATAGCTCTCCTTCCTAATCTTTGTTAAAGTAATTACATGGTCAAAACTTCTTCAAAGAGGAAACAAAAATGGTTTAACTTGCACCTCAACCTCCAAAGCAGAAATCAATGACCTCTGATTGGCCTTGGGTCAAAAATAATCAGGTGAAGGTTGACCACATTCTAGATATAATCCCCTTGGGAGAGGATGTCTATACCAATACAAGCTAAAAACGACCATGTAAGAACAGGTGTCACAGCACCCTCCTCACCATGAATGTCATGTCTGCCTCTGGTCTGGGCTAAAGCCTCCACTCTTCTGCATAAAGCAATAACAATGTCTCTGGATATGTCTATCTGAAACTACTCTTCTCTAGCCTATGGAAAATATGAAGTGTTTAATATTTTAATAACTCCATTTTTATGAAAGGAAGAACCAACTCAGGGGTTTTGTTTCATTTTCATAGCTGTATGTAAGAGAGACCTGTTGAAACATCCCTTCTAATTTAAAGATTGTGTTGTTCTTAGCTACTCTTTGATTATCTGATATGGGGGAAAAGATATAGCTCTCTCATAGTCACATGTATGTTTCTAGTGTTTTAAAAGCCAAGCCAGCAAAGTAGTTATAATAGGATACTTTGAAAACATTAGAGTTCTGATGCTGACCAATGCTTCTCCTGGTGGTGATGATATATGATGATGATGATGATGATGATGATGATGATGCTATATGGTGCTTCCTTGGGAAACTAGCCAGAGAAACAGGGCTGCAACCGCAGACCCTGAAGTGCAGTTACTCTTCCCAGACTATGGGACCCCTCAGTTGGTAAGGCCATCTCATAAACAGGTGACTTAGCCGGAGAGGCAGGCATGGGTAGATAGTCCAATAATCATAGCTCTGAGTATTAATAGCTAATACAGACCTGACGTTCGACCTAGCAAAATCTAGCCGCTACCTCTACACAGTTTCTCCAGGTCAACAGTCTTGTTCTCAAAGCCGGAGCCTGCAGGTCACCCACCCCAAGCGCGTCATGCAGGCCACGTGGTCTGTCTACCACCTGCGAACCACGCCCAGGCTTTCCCTTCCCCGTCGAGAGCACACCTCATTTTACACTAAATTGGCACAATTATTTTTTTTATGGCGTCTGATCATCTTTAGCAGTTAAGGATGGTGTTTCAGCGCCGGGAGTTCTCCTTCCTAACCCGCTGCAGGCTCCACCGCCTGGGCGCCCAGGCAGGTGGTTCTCTCCCCCTTCTGGGAGAAATGGGTACGATGACAGGGTCGAGGCCATTGCTTCTGCAGCAGGGAACAAAGTCACACTTTCACTTTATCCATTCCCCTCCCCACACCGTGAGCGCGCTGGGAGGAGCTGGGGCAGTCTGCACCCAGCGGGCCTGCAGGCCTGGGAGCCAGGCCACTCCGTTTCTAGACGCTCTCTGGGGACAGACATTTCCAACGGCGCGGTGGAGATTTCCTTCCGGTGACAGTTGCACACCCGCAGTGTTGCTAGATCTTTCCTGCGCGTTGACGGTGGCGCGGAGAGGCGTGACGGTCGGTCCTGTCCTGTAGCGCCGCCAGGCTGCCGGGGAGGTTGTGTTTATCCGTTCGGAAGTGCCCAGGCCTTGTCACGCTCATTTTGCCTTCTCCAGATTTTAAATGCATCCATCTGAGGGCCAAGAAGTGTGTGTGTGTGTTGGGGGGGGGGAGTGGATGGGCGGGCGCCAAACGCGGGCCGCCCCCGCGGGACTGGGACCCGGGCCAGCGGCGCCCTCCCCGGCTCAGGCCCCGTCCCGGCCGAGGCGACGGCACCGAAGGGCCGGGTGGAACTTCCCGGGCTGTCGTAGTCCTCCGATGGCCACGAAGGGCGTCCAGGCCCAAGCCCGCCTCGGCCGCGCCCACGCGGGCTGCCAGGGCCGGGGCTGCGGGCGAGGGGGGCCGCGCGAGCTCGCACCGCCGGGGGCCGGGTGTGACTTCGGGGCACCGACACCTGGAACCCGATGAAGGCGCCTCCTCCTCGAGCGGGGCCTGGTCCTCCCTCCGCCACCTCGGGCTCCCAGGCCAGCTTTGAATGTATTAATTAAATAAAGCGGCCAGCCCTGAGTCGCGCCAACGCGGGGCGCTCCGGGAGCCTGACCGTCCCGGGCTCCGAATCCGCGAAAGAGACGTGTGAAAAGAGAATTAGTGAAATTAGGTTAGACCAATAAAACGTGCGGCTCCCGCACCCCTTCCCGCTCGCGGCCCGGGGCGAGAAGGGCTATCTGGTCTGATCCGTTGTCTCCCGCCGTGGCAGGGGGCTCATTGTGTGATAAATAATTCCCCCTCCATTTTCTTTTATTCTTAAAAAAAAAATGGGAATTTGCATAATCAGTGCTTTGATGTGGCCAGAATTCGGAGGTTTGGTCTGCGCGAGTCTGCGATTGGTGGCGAGGCAACAAAGCCCGATCCAGATCTTTCGCTCCGCCGGCAGCGCGGCGCGGACTGCCCGAGACGCCGGCGGTAAGCTGCCGCCTCCCCTTTTAAGGACCCACTTTAATGATTAAACTTAAGGACTGTCCAGAACAAGGAGGGGCTGAAGGACGAGTGGTCGCACCCCTTTCTACCTCTCCCAGTCCGCGGGGCTCATTGTTCCCCGCAGTTTCTTTCCCAAAGCGCCCGGCTTGGGCGAGCCGCGCCCCCCTCGGGGCGCCCCACGTGGCTCGGAGCGGGCGCCCGCAGGGGCCCCGGCCGAGCAGGGGCGAGGTCCGCGGGAGCAGCCCTCCCCCTCCCACCACCCGTTTCTCTTCCCCCAGTGTGGTTTATCCGGCCCGGATGGGGTTCGTCTTATGGAGGTCGCCGGAGTGAGTCTCCCTTTAGTCCCCAAGTGGAAGGGGGTGGGGGTGTCCCTGGGAACGCAGCTTGGGGACAGTTTCAGATGCTCCCGCCAGGACTGGCGAGCAAAGAAACGCACTCATCCGAAAAGCAGACCGCGAGAGCCAGTGTGGCCGGGCTTTATTCCCTGCGAGGCGGCGCGAGGCGGGAGGACGCAGTGGGAAAGGCCCCCGATGGCGTGTGCGCGCCACGACAAATGACTTCTCCCCTCTCGGTGCCAGGGGCGGGGGAGGGGCGGGGGGGCTTCTGCTTGCTGTCGCTCCCCTTCTCCGGCTCCTCTGGCCGCTCTGAGCGCGGAGGGGGAAATGCCAGCTTGGATTACCGACCCGGAGCCCCGTGCGGGAGGCCGGGCCGCGACAGACGCCGGCTTGGCGCTCCGGCCTGGGGAGGCGTCGGCTGCGAGACCCTCGCTCGGTCTCCCGGGATCCACATGGGACATGGCTCGAGACAC